GTTTCTGGGCCGCAATGAGATACTGCAAGCAGCGTGCTTGTGTCGAAGGCGATGCTATTTGCACTTTAGTATTATTGTCTCTGATTGCTCAACATGGATTGTTCTCTATATTGGTCACACGAGCAGTTGTAGCCAGTGCCCGGTCTTCATTTTCGACACAAGACCAAAGTGGGATGGAACTTTGCCTGTTGGTTTCACCTTCATTGACCTTTTCCGGCCAGCATCAGTGAGCAGGAGCTTGCAAGCAAGGGCAGGTGGTGTTGGAGGGTCCACACAAGCCAGGCTGATTGATGACACACGCACACGCACGCACGCACGCACGCACGCACGCACGCACGCACGCACGCACGCGCGGGGCGGGGGGGTGGGGGTGCGGGTGTGGGTGTGGGGGTGTGGGAGTGGGGGTGGTGTGCCTGTGTGTGTGCATGTGCGTGTGCGTGCGTGTGCAGCCTCGCCCCACCCCACCCCACCCCACCTCGCCCCACCCACCACACCCACAAACCCACCCAACACACACCCACACACCCACACACCCACTCACACACTCACACACTCCCACACCCACACACCCACCCACACACCCACACCCCCACACCCCCACACCCCCACACCCCCACACCCCCACACCCCCACAACCCCACAACCCCACACCCACACGCCTCCACACCCCCCCAAACCCCCCCACACCTCACACCCCCACAAACCCCCCCCACCCCACATCCCCACACCGCCACACCGCCCCCTCCCGGCCCCCCAAAAAATGGTAAAAGTAGGGGGCCTGGGGGGTGGCCTGTTGAGGGTTGCCTGTTCTGGTTTTTATGTTCATCTCAAATCTGTGTTCCCCCTTGTTCGTTTTGAAAAGAGGGTTTTTAGGGAGCTTATTTATCGTTTTCGTTAAGGTAATCATTTTGGTAATTGCCCCCCTTGTTCATTGTTGGGCTGGGGGCAAACATTTTTTTCATTTGAAAGAGTTAGCCCTTTTAGTAGTTATCAAGTTCTGAGGTGTTGGCGGTGGATTTGTTTTGTTAGTTTTTTCTCACTAATTTTCATTTATAGGTTAAAAGTTCAGTATAATTATAACATATAAGATTTTACATGTTATTATTATATTATGATTATAATTTCAGTTCAGGATAATAATCTAATTGGTTTGTCTTACTTCTTTCATACATCATTTTAAAAATAATATTAACATCTCTCACTGTATTCTGAACATTAAACTTTTTACTTTCAATAAATAATTTGATATTTTCTTTAACATCTTCTCCTTTCTCTTGACTATAACCCAACATCCATAATATATCGTAAATCGTGTCATATTTTTTCTTACTGATTTTAAGAAACTGTTTAACATAATCATAAGGTGGTATTTTATTTACAGTTAGAAATATTAAAATATCATCTTCTACATTTCTATTATGTATTCTTTTTATTCCCAACAGACATTTGATTAAAAATTGATTATCTCTCCAAGTTTTACAATTTTTACATATGTCTTCTTCACCATCCATTGAATAATTAATAATATTATTCACTATTTCATTAGGTAAACTCAATTTATACAATTCCATATTTTCTTTTTTGAAGTGACAACAATCATAGCATTTTTTATCGATATAATTATTGATTCCATCACCGTTCATTTTTCTCTTAATATATAAGGTAATATTTCTTTAAGTAGTTTTGGCTAGGGGGTTGCTGGTCGGCTGGTCTGGGTTTCAGGTTTAATTTAAATGTCTTAACCTTCTTGTTAGATTATAAAACAATGTTTAATCATATTATAAGATAATAATATTAATAAACAAAAGTTAATTTGACCCGTATTCAATCTCACCAGCGATACAACCACTATAACAACTCATACTATACTCACAAAAATAATGCTCGTATCCTTTTATTAATTGGTCTGTGTAAATTTCAATTAATTCGCTAAGAATATGTCTCAAATAATAATTGTTATTTCTATATGACCACCAACTGTTTAGGTTTGGAAAGCAAAATCCATTTTGTTTCCAATATTTTAATTCTTCAACTTTAAGACAATGTTTTAAAACTACACAAACTTCATATTCATTATTCTTACAGTATGATTTTAATGCTTGATAATACATTTTTCTATTTTTAAACCGTTCTTTAACTTCTTGTATATCAAATACTCTGTCAATGTTTTTTCTGTAATGTTTTAAACTAAAATGGTATCCTGTTAGTTGTGTAATATCATTATTTTGTATTTGTTGAATAATGTTTAACTGAAGCTCTGCTTTTTCTAGTCCTTCTTCAGGAATGTTTTTATCACTCATAAAATGCTCTTCTTCTTCTCTCAAATACCGACAATCAAAACATGTTGGTTTAATACAACCACCTATAAGATTACAAACATCAACAGGTAAAATATTAGCTAGTCCCACGACAGAGTTACATTTTTTATTTTTACAAGGACAATTATCATAATTAAACAGTGTCATTTTTTTTCTCTTACTATATTATACCCATTTTTCTTTAAGTAGTTTTTATTTTATGTTGAGGGGTGGTGGTTTATATTGAAAAAATATTTTCTAACAATTTAATATAATGGCGAGATTAACAAAAGACCAAATAATCAGCAACATCTATTACGACTTAGACGAGGGTTTCGGAAGCACACAAGCGACACACAAGAAGGCAAAGGAAGAAGACCCAACAATAACAATAGACGATGTAAAGTCTTTCTTAAAGAAACAACCAAATAAACAAATCAAAAATTATAGAGGTACTAATTCCTATACCGCTCCATTCGCACGATATGAATATCAAATAGACATAATGCATATGTCACCTTTAGCAAAAGACAAGAACGTTCCACAGTATGCTTTAGTCGTGATTGACATCTTCAGTAAATTAGCAGATGTAATACCGATGGAGGAAAGAGACGGAGAGCACGTTTTGAAGGCGTTGAGAGCAAGCTTTAAAAAGATGGGTTATCCGATGTCCGTGTATTCTGATGACGACGGAGCGTTTGCAACTAAAAATCAAGTTCAGGATTTCTTCAACAGTGAAGGAATAAACCACATCGTCACGAAGACCCACGCAAATGTGGCCGAGCGTTTTATTAGAACGATGAAAAACAAAATTCACGATAGAGTTAGGTTTAACAACATGAAATGGACCGACGCCCTAACGCCGGCATTGAAACAGTATAACAGCACATCTCACTCATCAACAAGGATGACACCGTCTGAAGCACACAAGGACGACAATGAAATAAATGTAAAGGTCAATCTTAAACTACGAGAAAAAAACAAAAGAAAGTATCCCAGAATAGTGGAGAACGACAAGGTAAAAGTGTTTCAAAAGAAAAGGGGTAATTACACCGACAGAAAGGAGTATAACTCTAAATGGTCTAATAAAATATTCAATATCGATAAAATTGAATATGATATTATGGGTAATAAAACTTACAAAGTAGCAGGAATAAACAAACCGCTTTTGAGACACGAAATTTTGTTAGTTAATGATTAAACATAAAGTTTCAGTTCCTTGTCATATTCTATTTTGTCATAATCCATTGTTGATTGCTTCGGTTCTGTAATTTCTTTGTTATTAAGTTCGTTTAAATAATTTTGGTGTTTCAAAGTTTTTTCGTGTCTTGCTTTTGCCCTCCAAGACACACAACAATTACAAATCAAACATGTATGTGTGCGGTCTTTTATTTTCTCAATATATCGTTATATTATGAATAAACCCCTGTATCTTCATCATAGTCAATTTGATAAAATGCCATAGTGGAGGACTTCGGCTCTTTTATCTCTTTGTTGTTGAGTTTGTTTAAATACACTTGTTTCTTATTTTTAAATTCGCCACTGGTTCTATCTACTTCTTTACTTTGATAACTGTTTGTGAATGGTTTCTTCTTTTCCATTTCTTGTAAGATTTCCAAAATATTATTATTCTGTTCTAAAACCTTTTTTAGTTGTTTAACAATCTTATCTAATCCTTCAGCCATGTAAAATATATACTAAATTATAAAACTAAACTTTTAAAACTAAATGTTGCAATTATGTTAAATCTACTCTTTAAATACTAATTTTTCATTATTTGTTTAACAGTTTCCTGAGTTTCCTTTCACCATTATCTGACGGAGTAACCCCCCTCCCAAATCGTATAGCTATATTATGAACATCTGTTTCTAAGTTTATACTGTCTTTAGTTTTATCAATATTCATTTTCTTATCATTTCTACTTATTTTGAAACTTGTTGGAATACACGAACATTTACAGTTTCCTTTCTTTTGTATTTCTAATTCATTTTTCATTTCTAAGATTTTTTTACACATTGGACAAGCAAACTCAATAACTGATGTTTCTTTAACAATTTCTTCTTTTTCTTCATCGGTTGAAGAAACAACTGATTCTGTCTTATTCTTTTTCTTTCTCCCCATCTATATTAATATTTATATTTTTAATATATTGTATCACAAACTTAATTAATTCTAAAACAAAATAGCATACTTTCTTAAATCTATTATCAGTTATAACAACTTGTTCTATATTTTCTACTTTATCTATTATATCAATATAATCCGAATAACTTCTATTCATATAAAATAATAAATATAAAATATTTTCTAAATAACTTTAATATTATTTTATTATGTCTGATGTTCCAATAATAAAACCAATAAATATAACTGATTACGATTTCAAACAATCTAAATATGAACATGTACCAAAACTACCTTTTCGCTCAATTGTTGTTGCTTCATCAACGGGTGGCAAAACAGTTTTAATTCAAAACCTTATCCTAAATGTTTATAGGGACTGCTTCGCCCGTATATTCATTTTTAGCCCGTCGGTTCATAATGACCCTACCTTTGTTGAAGTCAAGAAATACCAAAAAGATAATATGAAAGTTGATGACGAAAAAGAAAAGTTATATTATGACACCTACCAACCTGAAGAACTGGAAGAAATAATTAACACACAAAGAAAGATAATTCATTATATGAAAGAACAGAAGATGA